TATTTCATGTCTTCTTTGAGAAAGTGCACTTAGATTTATTTAGCTTCTCTTTATAAAGAAAGAGAATGTGTCAATGACAAGATAATATGGAGAATCGTTTTTTATACCATGTTTAAAGATTCGAACAGAATATAGAGAGTCTTAATTATGATGGTAGCTTATATTTTTGTTTTAATTCTTCTCATCAGAATGTTAAAGGAAAACACTACAATATTGCTGGCTGATTTTTTAAAAATAATAGGGGGAAACACATTGCTTTGGATAAATTCTCTAAACTTGAATCATGTAAATTTTTCTTGTCCTCAATATTAGTTCAATTGTGTAACAGGCTTAACTTTAAAATACTATTTTATAGTCAAGAAAATGGAATTTTTTTCCAGCTTACAAATGGTCTGTTTAAAATGTGTATTTACTCAAAGTAATAAGGGTTTTTATCATTTTAAATTCTTTGGAAAATAATGCTCCAAATCATGATGCTTTGGTATTTGATGTTAGGAGGCTTATTCAAACCAGTATTTCTTACATATAATCATTGTGCGACTTCATTACACATTTGTCAACTTTGGACTAATTATTTTTATACAGCTAGGGCAGGGCACTGCATCTTGTGATCGTCTTTCTTACTAATAGGATTCTGTCTGCTTCAGCAGGCAGTAATTGAAGGCTTCATGTACAGGGTAGGGGGGAAAAAAAAGTTTTAGCCTGAGTGGGTCATTGTCACAGCTTCTGGTAACCAGTAGAACAGAAAACACGAGAAAATTGAACTCAGAATAGAAAAATCAGAAACCAGGAAGACTATCCAAGAGCAGAAAAAGCATGTCTTAGAGCTGTTGCATTAAGTGTAGCAAATATGATTCCACTTAAAAATGTTTGTGTTTGTGAATACCCTGGGGATTGATGAAGCCTCTCAGATAAGTATTGTTTAGTTCCTGTTGTCCTGTTAACATTTCAGTTGTTAAAACCGTTGAGTTGTAGGATTTTTTTTCCTTCTGACAAAGAACATTTATGGTCCATAGCCAGCTTCTCATAAATCTTTTTTAAAAAGTGTGGTTTAAGTGCATGAGGGAATAATATTATAAATATATTGGTACAGATTTGTTGTTCTCTGAGTTGTTTTCCTAATTCTTTCAACAGTTAAGACAAATTAACTTTTTTAGAAGAGTGGTGTCATTTAGGTTTTGCAGGCAGCTTATTTTGTCTTTTTCTTTAATTTTAAGAGTTCTTGTAGGCTTCAAAGATTAAATGTCAATTGCTAGAGATAATAGACAAAAAGACACGTAACGAAACGAAATACAGATAGATCTAAACAGTTTTACCTTCTCAGTTGCTGATTACCAAACAGCCAGTGCTTGGTGGTAGAATGAAAATGAAAAACTATGAAAAATACCTCGATGGTATCCTTTTAATAACACGGAGCCCGTCATACACAGGCGATACGTCTTTAACTGTCACCCTCTTGTTTGTTCTCATTTGTGCTGTTACTGGTGTTCGAGGTCGGTTGGCCGCCCAGAAGTCCTCCCTTGTGGAGTGTCACAGCTCCATTCAACAAGATTTTCTGTTTTTCCTTGTGGGGGTTCTTTTGAGGGAGTGGGAAGCAGGGGATGCTTAATTTTTTTTTTTTGATCTTTAAAGGCAGAAATTAAAAAGTTGTTATGACAAAGCACCAAGTCAGGATGCTTTGAATCACATAATAGTGCAGATGCAGCTACACATTTTGAAGGGGAAAATCTTCCCTCTTAAAGTTTTTGGAACAATAATAGATTATATGCTTATTAGGTAAATAAGAAAAACATTAATCTTTCTGTTTATACTAATTAAAAAAAAAAACAAATATTAAAAGTACATTTTACATGTTTGAGAATGCGTATGAACCAGAACCAGAATATTTGGGTTCAAATTTCTGCTCAGCCATTCACTGGCTGTGTGCCCCCGAGCACGTGTCTCAGCTTCTGTGGGGCCTCACGTCCCCCGTCTATACAGCATTCTGCCTCATGGCATCAAACAAGTACCCACTACACAAAGCACTTAAATAAATGGTAGCTGCATTTATCACTGTGGTGACCGAAAAACTTCACATGTCTTCTGAAAAAGTTTTGTCTCAGCATTAATCTTCGTTTGAGGTCAAACACAGAGATCCTGATGTCAGCCATTAAATTTAGCATAGAAGTATTTGACCCAAGCTGTCTTTATAACCAGCGTTTCTTACATCCAAAAGCTAGCTACGTGTTTTATTAACTGGTACTCTTTCCATAACTGTCTTTTCAATGTATGTTGAAGCATAGCCTGTTCGGGCATTAAATGATTAATAAATTTGGGGGGGTGGGGGGATGTCTTTGCTTTTCATGGACCAAAACAAACCAGTTGCAATCATGCTGTGTTCCAATTAAATACATCCTTTTGGAACTGTGAAATGAGAATGTCAGAACATCTGATCTTCTAGTCTCCTGCTTTAAAACCTTGCTTCTACCATTTGTGCCCACTAGAACACAGAGACCCAGCAAACAGGCAGTAGCTTTTATACCAGCCAGCAGATTTTCTGGCTAGGGCGATTAGCTAAGCATGTTTCTGCTGTAGGGTAAGCAAAGGCCCCTTTTCTTTCCTGCCCCTAATCTTTACAGTATTGAGAATTTTGTGGTAATAGGATTTCAAAAACATGTACGAGACATTAATCTGTGTAAACACACTGACATCAAAATTGACATTTGTCTCTGCTGAGTTTATATTATTATACCATCAACTCTAAGTTTCTAATAGAAAAGAGATAAAATGCGCCTTGGGGCTGTACAACCCTGAAATTCAAGTGCTTTTGTGTTCTTATTCAGACATAATCTCCTTCACTACAGTCCCAAGGCACAAGTGTTAAGTAAATAAAGGGACTAATAAGACTATTGTTTACATAATTATAACCCTGTCAGAAATAGGGACCTCTGTGGAGAGATGTGTTGAGTGAAAATTTGGTGATGACCAGATCTGTGGCGAGAAAAGTTACATAAATGAGTAGGACAGGGGAGCCGCCTCGTCAGACATACAGACATGATTTAACAGAAATCCAGAAACAGGATTCTCCTGTGAAGCAGAAGAACCCCAAAAGTTTGGACCAAAGAAATACATAAACTTGTAAGGGGTGTTCTGTAGAAAAGGCGGCCGGTCATTTTAGGGCTGGTGACGTTGGTGTTCTCTGAAAGGTGAAATTAGGAAACACTTCCTTAGGTCTTGTGTGGACCTCTGAAGAGCACCCGGTTACTTACACTTGCTGCTCACAGTAGAAAAGCTGCTCTGGCAGATTCCTTGCAAGTCTTCAGTGTGTTTGGAGAGAGGAGCTTTCCCTGTGTGTAGAAAATACACAAATAAATGACCGCAGAGATTTCTAACATACTTGATCAGCTACCCACTAGCTTACAGTTTAAAATGCAACTTTAAAACGTTGATAATATTTTCATATTAGCATATTCATTTTGCTTTTGAGTCATTATTCTAATTACTGTTGGAAAGCTGATTTTCATGATTCTGTTTAGGTCAAAAAAGGCTTGCTAGGTTGCCAAAAAGAAGAATCGAATGTGTTATGAGATCTTGATGTCATTTTTGAAAACCCAAAGAAGAAATTACTTTTCATTTAAAGAGAATCTGCTTCCTGCTTAAGTGGCTAATATTTTAATTAAGTTGGGAGTGAAGTTTTTCTGAGTGTCTCCTGATAAACTCCCTCTTTTATGTTGATGGTAATTAAACAGATCCCTGAGGACACCGTGGGCTCTGCGCAAGGCCCATGCTAATTGTCAGACAGGAGACACTGACCAGTTGGTTTGCTCTTGAATAGTCCGCAGCGTGCTGTCAGCTCAGCAGTTTTATTTTTATGTATTGTGAGCTGTTGTCAGGGCTAACTGGGTGCCATTGTGGCTGAAGATGTTGCGCAAATTGAGGCAGATGGCTCAGATTCAGACACGTGTCATACAGAAAGGGGAAAGGGGATTGGCCCTGCAAAGTGGGGTCACAGCAGGTCACAGACCTGCTCTACACTTGTTAGTGTTTTCAAAAGCTCATGTGCGGCAACTTTGTTTTTCTCCAGTCATCCCTGCAATCAAACCCCCGCCCTCCCCCCCCCCAAAAAATGTGTGGAACATGCTCCATGTGGAAAATGGAGGCCTGGGAGGGTACCGGCCTCTTCCTTCACGTCTCTGGGGCTCAACTGTGCGTGCAGAATGAATTAGCAGGATTGACAGAAGTTCATTGTGCCTCCAACGGCTTTTCAGTCAATTGCAGTGCTTAAAAGGCTAGTTTTGCTTTTAATTCCATGTAATTAGTAGATTCTTCATGTCTTGGAATTTAGTAATGGAGCCTTAGACCTCAAGTTTCCTCTATTCTAAAAGAAAAAGAAGTATCTAGCGTTCTGCACGTAAAAAAGTGTAGAAAGAGGGAGTACGGCGTTGTACTTAGCTGTCACGTGGTTTTGTTGCATGTCCTTATCAGCATTAGACACTGAATCTGAACATTTTAACATGCGTGACTCTTTGAGACGTAAGAGTTTTATAACGTACATAAAATTACCTAACTTCTTGCATAATCATTTTCAGATATGAGGAATTAAAATTTCAAGCCCTTTGAGAAAAGTACCTTTTCTTAACATGTTCTAAAAATAAAAATGCAGTGGTTTATTTTAAATGACCCTATGGATGGTGGAATATTCAGTACCAAACGAATGATTCCCAAATATATATTAATGGAGAATTATTCACGGAAGTCTCTTGCTCAAACTAATAAGTAAAATAGACTTCCCTTTTTGTTCCGTTCTAAAAATGCACTAAAATTACCTGCTTGTGGTAAGCATAGTGCTGGGCAGGTTATTCATTTTTTTCAGAAGAATGCTTGGCTTTGGGTTTTTGACAGTAGGGAACCTGTAAGAAATTATTGAGAAAAAAGAACTGGTTTAAACCTATTTGAATTTATGCCATCTCCGTTTTTCCTCCCTCACGGTAAAAGCTCTCTCTCTCTTTTTTTCCCTTCAGGTTTGCAGCTAAAACTGTGCACAGTGGGTCGTTGATGCTAGTTACAGTGGAACTGAAGGAAGGCTCCACAGCACAGCTTATCATCAACACCGAGAAAACGGTGATCGGTTCTGTTCTGCTGCGGGAGCTGAAGCCTGTCCTGTCCCAGGGGTAACCTGCTTACATCTGGACTTCAGAATCTGGCACACAACAAAAGTGCCTGGCATCCACTACTGCTGCCTTTCATTTATAATAATAGCCCTTCCATCTGGCAGTGGGGGAAGAATACACTCTTGACATTCTTGTCTCCTGCTTTAGAATGCTAGTGTGTATCTATCATGTATGCAATACTTTCCCCCTTTTCGCTTTGCTAACCAAAGAACATATATTTTACTGTCAATTTTCTCAACTCTTGAATCTATGTGGTGCTTTCTCTGTCCTGCTACTTCTTCCGGCCTTCTCCTCTGCCTTCTCTTTTTCCACAACGATGGACGTGAATTGGGTATTTTAAGTTCGTTGGGAATCATCCTCCCTCCCACTGTAACCGAAAATTAGCCGAGGAATAGTCTAAGTGGCCTCTGAGCTTAGTGTGTGGAAATGGGAATAGCATACTTTTTAGAATCAGATACAAAAACAGTAAGATCTCTGCAAAATTTTGTTCTGTGAATTTCCTGGTATTGTAATTGGTTATTTCTCATCATGAAATCATCTCTGAATAATAAACTAGCATATGAATAACATGTGTCTTTGCATTTTTAATGAGAAACTGTGTGTAATCCTGAAGTTCATATGTTGATGTTTGTCTTAAAAGTAAACAGCTTGTTATATTCTGCAAAGAAGCAATTAAGAGGGTTTCGTTAGTGAAAGAAAAACCACTTTCAGACCCAGGTAGATTTTCTAGTTACGTTACAGAGTATTAACTCTAAGGAAAAAAATTGGTGTATTTAATAACAACAAAAATCATCATGTTGTACAATAAAATGTCTCTGTGCAGTTTTGATTAGTAGAGATCAGATTATAAGGCCTCCTGTTACACCTGCTGAATAAATTCTTTGAATCTCATTGCTCCTTTACAAATCTTGATGCCAACTTAGGTGGACTGAAACACCTTTGAAAACTACTCAGTAGAAATCTAATTGTGGAAATTTTTAAAACCTGTTACATAGTCAACATATCAGCACTTCCCTCCCCCCCCCGCCCCAGAGTGTTTATTTTGTGTGCTAACTTCCACAAGCTACTGTTTTTATTAAGATTATTCTCTAACCAGGGGCAACTTGGTGGCTCAGCTGGTTGTGCATCCAACTTCGGCTCAGGTCATGGCCTCACAGTTCGTGGTTTGAGTCCCACATCAGGCTCTCTTGTTTTCAGTGCGGAGCCTGCTTTGGGTCATCTGCCACTCAGTGCCCCTCCCCCACTCATGCTCACTTGTGCACTCTCTCTCTCAAAAATAAGTAAAACATTTTTAAAAAGTGGTTTTCTAACCAGAAAACTTTTTTTCTGAGACTTTTATATCTTTTTAAAACCAGCTGAAATTTTATTTATCTTTCTGATACAAGGTAGCAGTCTTTCAGTTAATATAAGCTAGACATTTCCCCTTCAATAGAGCCATGTAAGGATTTTTTAAAAGTAGAAAGAGAATGGGGCGCCTGGGTGGCTCAGTCGGTTGAGCGTCTGACTTCGGCTCAGGTCATGATCTCATGGTTGGTAGATTTAAGCCCCACGTCGGGCTCTGTGCTGACAGCTAGCTCAGAGCCTGGAGCCTTTTTCAGATTCTGTGTCTCCCTCTCTCTCTGACCCTCCCCTGCTCATGTGGTCTCTCTCTCTCTCAAAAATAAATAAGACATTTTAAAAAATTTAATAAAAGTAGAAAGAGAATATACATTGATGGAAACTTTGTAGAACATATATAAGGAGAAAAAAAACAGAATGAAACAATCCTGGAAAATACATGTTGAGAAGAACAAAATAGATGTGAAAAATTATTTCAGTTTTCAAACTTGTGAGCTGGAGAGAGCAAACAAGATTGTTAAATTGTCCTGTTCTTGAAATACAGCATTTAATCCAGATGCGAAGTATTGCTGTAGAAGTCGTGTGTCCTACCTCATCCTGGAGCCTTACATGCTATGGCAGTGCTGACACCCGGACACACCTCTGTAATTGCAGCCTGTTGGCATTTCCTTTATTAATCCTGTTTCTCGGCTTACTTTGTAACTTTTGGTTTTTAAGTCAACAATTTTTTTTAAATGTCTGTTTAATTTTTGAGAGAGAAAGCATGAGGGACGAGGGAACAGAAACACACACACACAGAATCTGAAGCGGGCTCCAGGCTCTGAGCTGTCAGCACAGAGCCCGACATAGGGCTGGAACTCCTACACCATGAGATCATGACACGAGCCAAAGTCAGTCACTTAACTGATTGAGCCACCCAGGCGCCCCTTAAGTCAACAACTTTTTGAAATGTTACAAAGAATTTGAAAGGCTAAATACCTGTTTTCTGAAAAACATATTTACACTAAATGCATCAAAGCAGAGGGAAAATGTATCTTGTGATGTAGACAGGTTTTTGTTTTCCTTAAATTAGGGTACTTCTTATCTTTGAAAATAGGTCATTTTATAGGTACCTATTTTTAAGGTAAGGAATTTTCAGTAGAACTTTATTTTTTGAAAAAGATAAATATTTGATAACTAACTTAGATTTAAAATCTATACTAAATAACGTGGTATGCTAACAGTTGAGGCCATTTTAACATCAATAGCTTAATATCATTAAAATATTTTTCATGTAAGTGAAATTAGAAAAATGACCAAAATCCCTAGTTTAAGATTTGGTGGGGCAAGTGGTAGGGGGGTGTTCTTCCTTTTTTGGTACAATGTTTCAGAGTTCCTTACCTCATATTTCCTTTAACTTTATCATAATCCTTGATTATCTTTAAATTGTTCCATTGAGTCGAGTTAGTCAATGTTGAATTCTTAATTCTAGCTATATTTTTTCATTTTAATGTCTACTTAATGGGACATTTTATGTACACCAATCTTGAAGAATGGCTCTCATAGTATATTTCAGACTAAGCCTCGTATTTGGTATCACATTGCCTCATTTTTGGTATCTCAGTACATTTGCTTTATTTATTATAAGAAAAGGAGAATGTTTTTATTCTGAAGAGACTATAACAATGAACTTACCAAATTAAAGTACTTCAAACTTGCCCTTCCCAGTTACCATTTGCAAATATTTGAGTAACTTGTTAATAGCTTATGAAAAGTTTGCCCTTGTAACCTGTTTCAGGTTAAAAAGTTAGATAGAGAAGATAAGAGTCCGGAATGATGAATAACATAAAGGGAGGTTTTGAAAAGTAAAGTTTAGCTAGCTAGAGGAAAACCTAAGCTCTTTTACCTTCTTTGTGTCCTCTCTATAATCTCTCTAACCTTATAGGGGACTGTGTTTAAAGGGGGGAAATCCTCTTTTCACATAACGAGAGGGGGTAAAAAACCCTATGTTGTAATGCAAAATTAACGAAGTCTTACTATTTCCTTTCTATTTAAAGACTCTCCACTGTGGAACGTGAAGAACGGCAGTTACGATTGTCAGGGGTATAGTAAGATACAAGATGCATTCTGTACCCCACAGGAAACCACAGTCCCGGTGGCAGTAAATGAAGGAATGCAGTGTGGACTTCGCTAAGTCAGTGAGCCCTGGTTTGCAAACAAACTTTGCTTACATACTAATGTAGGCTCACTTCCCCACCCCCACTCACTTTGAGTGCCAAGTCAAATCGCTTTCAGCGAACTATCACCCCCAGAGATGCTGAGCCCATCTTTTCGCCTCCACCTCCCCTCCCCTCACACAGGTGATTTAACCAGTCCAGCCGTGATGGCTCTTCCATCAATTGGAGGTCGGTTAACTGTCTAACCATGCACTTGCTTTTTTTTTTTTTTTTTTTCTTTCAGAGAGGAAGAGAGCGAGAGCATGAGAGGGGCAGAAAGACCAAGGGAAAGAATCTCCATGCTGAGCATGGAGCCCAGCTTGGGGCTCAATCTCGTAACCCTAGGATCATGATCTGAGCCAAAATCAAGAATCAGATACTCAACTGACTGAGCCACCCAGGTGCCCCTGCTTTATTTATTTATTTTTTTATCATCCATTTCCTTCCCTTCTGCCTTCCTGCTTGACCAGTTACCTCAAGAGAAGTTTTCATGATCACTGTCACTCTTTTCTTGAGATTTTAGAGGAATCAAAACAAAAAGTTTATGATAGTGTTATATTCCTAGATGAATAGAAGCTGTGTTTAATAGAAAAACATGCCCTTAAATGGATCATGAAATATCTTTCCTGAATCTTCAGTCTCCCTCTTCTTCCTGACAAATAGCTTTCAATATGACTAAATGAATGCTTTCCTCTCTTTCTTTCTTGATAATGTCACTTTTTTTCCTACCACTTTTCAACTGTGTTACAGAGCAAGCGCTATTTTAAGACCTGACCTGGTAAGTTAACTTGACCTGGTACGTGAAATTGGTGTTTGAATGAAAATGTTTTAGACTTCACATGATCACTGGACCAACAGACTTGAAACACAGCTGTCCAAAGGCTGAAATCATTTCTGGGAAAAGTTGTGAAGCAGCTGCGCGATTGTCACATCACACCAGTAAGAGCTGTTGGATTTAGGGAAAGAAGAGGGTTAGAGAGGTCCCAGAAGGTTCAACTATGGAACGAAGGCAGCTAGGTCTTAAAAGTTGAATGGCATTTAGGAGAGAAAACAGTTTCTAGGAGTGGGAGGAGGAAGACTATATTGTTCTCAACTGAGTCCATCTCTTAAAATGTACCTTTTTTGTACAGGGAGCGGCATTACCCCTACACCTCTCTCTGTGCCCTCATTTCTCCTCTTTCCACTCCCAGCCTCTCCCTGGCACCAGCCCCCAGGTCTCCAGCTCAGGGTGCAATGACAGTTTAGAGGAGGAACCAATGGTTTCGATACTGTAGGTGGGGCTGTGCTGCTCTTGGAAGCGGGGGAGAGGCAGGAAAAAGAAGATTGGGAACCAGTGAACTAGAAATCGGGAGAAATCAGCGTTGTTGGCTCTACTCTCCCACTTGTAAGCCAATTTTAGCTATTTCCTTGGGGATCTTAGGTATTTCCTATGCTTTCCAGTTATTTCCAGGTTCTAAAAGGAATCTTTTTGGACTTAAAAGTAGCTAATGAACATGAAGTTCCACTGGTGTCCTTTTACCGGTAGTGATTGTATGTGTAAGTAATGTCTAATCTTCCCTCATGTCTGTCTTATTCTGGAGCCAACTTGACATACAGTCACTTGTACATGTAAGTTCTGGCTGCTTCTGTAAATTCATACTCTGAAGACCCAAACCCCTCAGAACTCAAATATGGAATTACTACAACAGACTCAAGCTTGTCTTCAGTGACATCCTGAGACACTGCTTTCTCATCAACAACCTTGAGTGCCAGAGACACCAAAGATGAGGCCTTAGTGAAGAAGAATTTTTCTCAAGTACTCTCTACACCCAACGTGGACCTCGCACGCAGGACCCTGAGATCAAGAGTCGTGTGCTGTACTGACTGAGCCAGCCAGGCGCCCCAGTGCAGAAGAATCTTTATTCTCAGATGTAGAGATGTCTAGAAAGTCTGACCAGCAGATAATTCTTCTAGTGGGCTCGTTCATGTAAGCCCTGGCAGACTGCAGGTGCCGCACCTGTGCTTGGGGAGAACGGGGAAGCCCCACCTTGCCTA